AAAAATGTTTTAAAATTGAAGAATTTTTTCTAAAGTCTCTTCCATTTAATTTGCATCAATCCATAAAAAAAGTTAATAAGTGAGCAGCTTTATTTTCCGTGATCTCTCTTGAGGAAAAGCTAGACAAACGTCACAAAGAAAGACGTTCTCTGCAATAAGCAAATTTATTTTTCCCTGAACGCGCATTTCATTGTAACGTATCACAATAATATAATCATTGGAGAAAAATATTCTAATTATGTAACGTATCACAATGATATAATCATTGGAGAATTATGTAACGTATCACAATGATATAATCATTAAAGAAAAATATTCTAATTCGTGCAATCTTATACGTTTTATTTAAATTCGCTTAAACTCATCTGTTACTATTTCTTGTTATTTATTTTCAGATCTTTTTCAAGTGTGCAAAAAATATAATAAATCTAATTTTGTTGTACAGGAAAGTAGAACATTCGAGAATCTAAGAAATTTTAAATATTTAATAAGATATCCTCTTCCCCGCGATTTAATACTATTAAAATATAAAAATTCATACAATATAATATACGAAAATTGAGAATATCATAAATATTTGAAAACGTAAGGTATATAACAAATTAATAGGCAATATAAATATAAAGTCACAAATTTGAATTATATCCGCTCAGATATAGAAAATTTTTAGCTAACTATGACATATATAAAATTTAGCTAATTGCAACATATAGATATAATTATTATATAATCGATTGGTATTTATAATGTTATAATAAAAAATAAAATTATAAATCTATGTTAGGGGTTTATGTCAAACATTTATTATATAATACTTTTATTTAATATTTCTCTTATTTAGATTTTTTTTAACATAACATTTTAAAGAAATTTCAATTTTCAGATTGCATTCTCGTTATAAAATATAGTACTCAATAAATGTCGGATATAAACTTATTATGAATATAACGAAGAATAAGGATTCAACAGTTTAAGAAAACAAAATTAATGAAGGACGGCATATGAATGCAGTAGAGATTACTTCTTGCATACAAAATGAGATATGAAGTATATTGGTCGGTCATCAAGAACTAAATCACGGATTAAAAGTTTTCCCTTGTTAAAGGGAGATCAAATGCAAGTGTTGTGAGATATAACAAGCTGCTACTGACGCATATTTGTGAGACATCTTACGTTATATATATACATAAAATATAATCTCCTTTACTTCTATATTTCGAAAAAAGATAGAAAATTTTATGAGTAAATACGAAACGAAATAATGTTATGTCGCCAAAGCAGTACGAAAGTCGCCTTTCATTACAAAATAATGCACTTTCTATTGTTTATTTCGTTTCTTCAAGCGACTTTTTCATCAGCGTCATCAGCTCTGATTAAATTACACCTGCTGTGTTTAACTTCATTTGCCAGTCTCAAGTAAGTTGTCTCACCAGGGGACACGTCATTTTATCTCAGACGACAAGCGATCCTTTATTAAGAATAAGCTAGGGAGTGACTAGCATCGATTCAGTGTATTGTTGCTGTTTAATTATTGTTAGTATTCTTAGTATACAGTGAATTTACATGTCAAAGTATACTATTAATTTTTGTTTCGTTTAATTTGAATTATCGTCGGTTTTCATTTTTGCAAGTCTAAAAAATGTTGTGATATATCGATATCGAGAATATCACATTCCCCGATGGAATAAGCGTTTTGGAATTCGATGAATGGCGAATAGGTTTTGTTGATCTGAAGTCAGTTTCGTGGGATCCCGGGTTTCGAGAATGCGCTTGTACAAAGGATGTCATGCTGGAAGAGTAGCAGCCTTTGATTACAGCGGCTTCTACCCCACGAGCGAATTGAGGTCACCGAATGGCCAGACCTCGATATATCCTTTCCCTTTGACGAAAGAGGATGGTTCTCGAATTCGGGACAAATGACAGGTACTTTTCACCGGTTGCTTTGAAAATCGCTGCAATTTTTACAGTGCACACGATAAAAAGTCATTTCTATGTTGTCGCATCATCTAAAAAATATTTATTCAAACTGATAAACTAAAATTTTTTATTCAAGTTTTATGACTTTATATGTGTTATACGTGTTCTCATAGTTTTAATTATTTACCATGCAAACAAGTAGAATTTTATATATGAGGAACTTCGTAAAAAATAAGAGATTATTCATATCAATTAAATTTGACAAAATAAAAATAAGAACGAAAGCACAAAGTTTTACAAGAAAACGGATTGTTTAAAAACTAAATAAAATCAGGGAATTATCGAAAGATTTCTTTACGATGATTTTAATCTCAATATTCCATCCATTCCAATATTTTGCGATGCAATCATATAAATATTAATCATATAGGTTTTTAGCAGCATTGAACGACGATAATGGTAATCTTGTTTTACTTATGTTATTTACACATAATTCTATAATACATTATAGCTAGGAATTATGTTAAATCCTATTGCATGATAAATCTAATAAATCGTGATTAAAAGCAGATATGTCGGATTTAAGGAAATATGCCAGCTCCACAAATCATATTTACAGTAGCTATCTATATTTTTGAATTGATGAAAATAATTAAAATAATATTTATAAAGAAATAAATCTCTAATTTATGTGTACGTATAATATATACATGTTTTCATATACATTTTATCATATTAAACATTTTGATACTTTTCACAGATTGAAATATTAAATATTTACTAAATAAACTTAACAATAGTTCGTCAATGTATTATTTCTGTGAGAAAATAATTATTAGACTATTTTACTAACTATATTTAATGCAAATAATAATTTAATTAAAGATAAGTAATTCTTTTGACTATAATTATAACACACACATTTATAATAAAGGAATTTTTTTTAAGTATCATGAATCCATGTTCTCTATGTATTAAATGCTACGTAGTCTTGAGTTTTCATCTCAGTGAGATTTGTGTGAATAAATCAATTCGTGCAGCATTTTGCCGCATGCGGATATATCTCGAGAAAATATGGTACGTGATAAACGCGCACACAGCGGAGATTCGCAATGAAAGAGTGCAAGCTACGTCAACTTTATGCGCTTTTGTAGTAGAAAAGAGAGTAGAAAAGAGAGGAGTTTGTTGTGTATAAAGTTCAAAGGACAATGAGTTAAGATGTTTATTATTCCTGTACTTGTTCTTATTCAAAAACAATAATAACCTTTATACATAAAATTCTATGAGAAAATAAAATATGATGAAGGAAGGAGAATAAGAAAATATTTTATTCGTATAATAGTTGTTGATTGTTCATCCGAATGAGATATATCACATTCTTAAAATTCATGAATAATATTTTACACAATAAAGCACAAATCTCTGTTCTCCCCCTCTCTTTGAGAGTTTTTTCATAAAATTTAAAGTAAAATGGTTTTGTAAAATAAATTTTTAATTTTGTTTTAATTAAAAATTTTTTATAATATTTAATAAATGTAAATTTGAATTTATGCGGAATAATAAGATTTAATAAATATATAAAGAGAAAAAAATGAAAAAAAAAATTATATAGAATATATTATATTTTAAAGAAGGATAACATTGTTTACTTACTCTTGAAAAATACATAAAATAAAGATTAATTTTGGTATTAAGACTTTTTTTATATTATCGTTTACTATTTTTTCATGTATTTTTATTAAGCATTTAGTATCTAAACCTAACATTATTGTTTATTATTTTTGCATAATAATATCAATCAAGCAACTATTGACTTACAGAGATTACAATGAAAATCTAGTCATTATATTGATTGCATCTATTTGTAATTCCAATATAATTTGTAAATTTTTTAAGTTTCCTAATTTTATCATATGAGGGAATGTTACGTGAGAAAAAATTCATTTTTTCACAGATGTGCTCACCAAAAGAATGTAACAGAAAAGGGGAGGAAAAAAGAGGATGTGTTTCAACATAACATTATTCGAATACGTGAATTATTAGTTTCTTTTCACAAAAAGAAACTAATAATTCACGTATTCGAATAATCGATTCTGTCTATATATATGCAACGAATCAACTTGGAAAAATTCGCAATGCAGAGCGGCAATCTTATTAAAAATGCATTCGTCGCAATGCGCACGCAAAATTTCAGAAAAAATATCATAGTATTATTTCGTGCTTTATTTCCGCGTTGCTTGGTCTGCGGTTCATTGCTGCGTTTATATTAGCGGTGAACCCTGAATAAAGAGAGAAATTCATTTGAAAAGTCTCGCACAACTCGCGTCTTTTACTAAAACGTTCTCCGATAGAAACGGAAGATGAGGACGTAGTTAACTGGAAAGCTTAGCGTACAGCACCAACATAACCCGATTAAAACGTTGAATGGCTAGCTAGTGCAACGGAAGCAGTGTCTCACCGGAAATCCGATTGAGTGTATTTGAAACTGCATCAAGAGCATTCCGGATATTTAGTCGTGGAGGTTCGACGAGCGATCAAACGAAATTATTTGCTCGAGCGCGCGAGAGAGAATCGCTGTCGACCGTTCTTGGTGAAAGCAAGCTTTGAAATATCACTACATTTCATAAATTTTGATAATTTGATAAAATTGGATTGCGTAGTTCGCATTTGTCTTTCAGAAAGTTTGTAATTTGAACTTTGAATGTAACTAATTAATTACATATTAGGTATCCCATATCATCATTAAGATCGTATCAATATGTGTATATATCCCGATATCTCTTAAATTAAACTTACTTTTCTTTAAAAAAGTCTACATATTTTATATGTATGTATAATCTTGTATAACATCAAAATTTTTGATGTAAATTTACCATTATTATTTTATTAGCAGTATGTCATTATTAATTGCATTTTTGTCAATAACGAATTCTTTTAACAGATTTTAAATATTATTCTATATCTATTCATGCTTTCGAGTATACAGCAATTTATATTTTTCGCGATGCATTTAACATAAGAAATCAGAAGCACGATAATCTCCTGGCGCTGAAAAATGCGTGCTCATTACTCAAGCAACTTACCCGGAAGTAGCCTGTATGTCGACCTCCGGCCAGGATGGTCTACGACGGCAGAACATAAGAGGCGGTCGATCGCTGGATCCGCCACTTCGACGAAAAGACCCGACTCGCCTCGGTGATGTGGCGCCACTTCCTGTCGCAGGGTGTACCGTCAATCCTGGAGAGGAAGTGCACTCGAGAGTGCGTCTACGTGTTGAGAGAGAACGCGTATGCGACGTGACAGTTCCTGGCGGTGGTACAACCTGAAAGAAAAAAATATACAAGAAAAATATACATTTAAAAAAAGCTTTAGTTTCAACAATGCGTTTTTATTTCTGAGAATAATGTCTGACGTTCTGCGTAAGAAATGATAATAATAATAATCTCTATTATTATTATCTTTATTCTACAAATATTATAATTAAAAACTTAACATCTATTTAAAAATTAAAAAAGATTATAAAAATAAGCAAATATTATTAATTTATATTTATATAACGAGAAAATGATTGAATAAAACTGAGAATAATTTTCCTTTACATAGAAAATACTTATTCCCTCTTAATATACACATTTAACAAACACATTAATTTATCAATATCAATAAATGTATTGTTAAAAATGTTCTTTCTTAATGATATCAACTATTTTTGTATGTATTGATATAAAAGTGGATAAATTCTCATTTGCTCGATTATCTAACAAATAATATATTTATTATTTGCGAGAATTTGCAAGGATATGTCATTATACATCAATTCGGTAGAACGATGCATCATTGATAATATTTGTTCAAATATATTTGATAATATCTGTTATATTCATTAAAATGTTTCTCCATTATTGCACTATACATATATTATTATGCATATTATTATACATATTAATAAAACAGAAGAGCATAATGCATTCTTAGAATTTGTTCTAATATAAAAATATAAAAATAAAAATATATATTAAATATATATATTTCTAATATTGTGGAAAATAATGTCACAAAAAGATTACATTTTTTATCTGCATAAATTAAATATTAATGTAACAGACAGTCAATTACTCTTTGCTTCAGGCACACACCGATAATCAATGAATTAAGTTTTTTTGTTACATGAATAATAACGGCTGTATCTTCTCGGATCGTAACATATCCTCTTTAATGTCGCTTTTCTTGAATTCTTTAATCAAGAGAGACTATCGTCTTTTAGTCAATCTGGTTCCTATAAGAAGTTAATCTTGGTTTCACGTAATTAAATTTTCTCTTAAAATTCGGTGTTAAAATTTATTGCATTATTTAATGAAAAAAATTTGCGTGATTGTATTCAATCCCACAGTGAAAAAAGTCTTGATTATTGAAAAAATACAAAAGATTTATAATGAAAAAGAATACAAATTATTATATTCCATTAATTATATCAAATTTCTACTATTTAATGACACAATGATTATAGATATGCACAGGAAAATGCTTGTTCATTAATATTATCACTTAATGTGGTAAAAAAAATGTGGTAAAAAAATATTTTAGTTATTAGTTTATTTAATTAATAATATAATTTAATTAATATACTGATAATAAATTATACTTTTTATTCGGTATTCTTTCATTACAAATTATATAAATTCATAACTGTACATTATAATCTGATTTGTATTGCATAATCATTATTTTTATTTTATCATGATATCTTGTTATAATAATAAAAAAATTTCATTTTTATTTTGTATTAGAAATTAAAATTTTTGAAAGATATAATATTGCAAGAGAAAATGTATTAAAAAATTTATTATACAGATTAAAAAGTTTTGATTAAATTGTTTAATAAAATATTTTGCTTGATCACTTATCCTGCCGTATATGTATTTTAATCACATACCTTAGGAAAACCATGCGGCGTGGCTTGTTGGGCAGCAGTGGTACTAGTGTTAGTCGTCGAAGTGACGCTTCCGGTAGAGCTGCTTCTTCCAGTCCCACTGGAATCGCCTTTCGAGTCCTCTCGACTGAACGAGAATCTTTTCGGGCTCAGACTAAGGCTGGCCACACTATTCGTTACAATCTCCTGTAGAGAGTTGAAAAAACTCATTTTTATCGTATGTTTTTCTATGTATGATGTTTATCTTGTAGTTTTCTCCGTAGGATGCTGACGTCGTTCAGGCAATTATGAATGTCATCGCCCTCTATTATTCGAATTCAGTCATAATTCGTTCTTGAGAACCAAAATACCGAAATAGTAAAGCGAGATTTACAGGCATCGACCTCGCAGATGACCGATTAGATACCATTTACCGGTTGATTTGTCCTGAACAAAAATCCCCCAACCACGATACTTTTTTGCGTCGCAATATTGATTCTTAGCTACAGCCATTTGCGATTTCTTTTCGGATTCTCTCTGTGATTTTTCTGAAAAATTTCTGCTCTTCGCAAAAGTCACCATACTTGTCAAGCACTTAAGATATCGTACATTCTCAGTTTTCCTATTTGCATCATTGACGCGAGGTAATCATCTGTAAAAAATCGAAACAATCATGTTAATTTCGTACAATATATAATATATATTAAAAGATTAAATAAATTTATAAATTTATATAAATTTTTAAAATAAAAGTATATTGTATTATACTACTACTTTTTTATTTTTATGTATTATTTTCCAATAAGTTTTAATATGTGATTACAAATATTATCTGATATATTATATAAAGTAAATAGTTAAAAAATATTTATTATACAGATTTAAATTCAAGCCATGAAAACTATAACTAAAACTCTAACTTATTTGCTGAAATGTTACGCAAATACGCTGTTAAAAGTGTCTAAACTTTCTAATGCAAAACCTTCTAACTTTCCGAAAACTACTCGACAACTACGCCTTTAAGCTTAAATATATAGCTATATAAAGCTAACCGTGATTGGTTACCTACATTTAGTAATTTGTATTTACCTTAGAAGGTTCTGAAAAATAATAATGATGTCTTAGAATCATTCAAATTATATAATTAATCTCTCGAATTTCTGTGTCTTGATAATTATGAGATTAATAAAAAAATAATTTATTTAATTGTAAGATTATTAAAAATAAGAATTATTAATATTTATCGGAAAACAATGTTACATTTGTTGATATATCATAAAATAAACTTTATCAAAATTATTATTATTTTATCATGAGAAATGTATGCTATAATGCAAGCGCTGTAGATCAAATATTCTGAAAACAGCGGATTCTGTTATTTGTTCAGAAATCCATTGTGATTCGAGGGATTTAAACGATGCAAAGAGAACTTGGTAGAATGTAATTACAAGATTTGGGGTGATTTTGGAGTTAGCTCTTAGGTCAAGCGGGCATCTGTCCATTACCTCGTGAGCTGCATGTTAACCGAATCTCATTTGAAATGTCGGGCGCCTCCACGATTGAGAGTCGACCGATAGAGGAGGAAGCTAGTAAAGGAATGAGGGGTTGGGCAAATTAATCTGCAGCCAGCATTTCCGTTGCGGTACTGGGTGACGACAAAATACATACGCACAGCAATGAATCGGTCGGTAGTGCAATTAGGGCTGCGATTAGGTCTGATGAACAATCTTGCGAATTATCCCAACATTTGGATATTCAATCATTTGATAAATTTCTCTTAAATTTTACTATCAATAAAAATCTATGACAAAATTTGTCATATTATTTTGTATGAAATATTGAATCTGAGCTTAGATTTAATGTAAAAGATTTATTTGGATATTTTGGTGATCTTTGCACGCAGTTTTCTTTTAAAATTTATTTTTAAACATTTATTATTAAATGAGAAATATTTGATATTATTTAATTGTATTTTATCTTTTCATAAGCACAATTAAAATATTTCAAAATATTCCAAAAATACATGAGTAAATGCTACTTAATAATTATATTTATATTATATTAAAATTAATTGATAATTAATAATTATATGTATTATAATTATGTCACTGAAATAATAAAGTTCGCATTTAACAAAACAAAATAACAAAAATCGAAGAGCGGACATTCTGAAATAATGGTAGTTATTTTTTTTTCTAATACGTTTATTACAATTTTTAAAACGATATTGCTGGGCGTGATATCGTAAAGCAAATCACTGTTAATTATAATTGAATAGCGAGCATACGATAATCACGAAATACAATGTTCATGAACCAAGTATTCGGTTACAGTTAAGCTCCAAAATTGCCCCTATAATCCGAAGTGCGATGTTTACGAAACCGCCGATGCCGCAAAAGCGTCGAGCTTAAGGAAAGTAATGAGCCCCATAGCAAAATAGGATGACATGACTGAAAAGTAAATGAGCAAAGATAAACAGCATTTGGTGCGGTAATCCGCAAAGTTATATCAAATTCACGAAAATGCGTCGAAAATAATTCGACAGGTTACATTGTGTTATAAAATCAGATTTCCAATCGAAAGCTGAATTGACTTTAAAATGAAACATCGACCCTCGAGATGATATCCGCAAGCTTATTAAATATTGCGCTTTCTCTCTCTCTCTCCCCCCCCTCCCCCTCCCTCTTCCTCTCCCTCTCTCTCTCCCTCCCTTCCTCCTTCTCTCTCTCTCTCTTTCTCTCTCTCGGCACTTTCACGTTTTCATAATGTTTATAAAATATTCATATTTCATGATAAATAAGTTAGGCTGATGATTTCAAAAATAAAAATATTCGAATATATATCGTTTATACTATATATACCAATCGGAAGAAATTTATTATTTTATTTGGTACACACACACACACACACATATACACACACACACACACACACACACACACACACACACACACACACATATAATATATGGAAATATTCTAATTATATTCTTTATACAATATTATATATGCATAAAAAATATATATAAAATAATTTTTTTTATTTTATAAATCATGACAGTATTTCTTATATTTTTTCCTCACTGAAGATTCTTAAACAAATTACCTCTGTGTCTCTGAGAATATTATAAATACATAAATATTAAGTAAACAACTTTATGATATACCTATAACAAAAATAAACACAAACTTATTACAAATTTAGAAAATATTAAATAAGTCATTTAAAATTGCATTAAAAATATTTCATTATTCCGAAATCTGAATTCTGATCTCTTCAACAAAAGTGCAGAAATTTTGAAAATTAAAATTTTATAAATTTTAAAAGAGAATATTATATTCTTGTTATTACTATGCACCGTTAATATCATCAAGGAATATGTATGTATCCTTTAAAAGCTTCGAAGATAGATACTACATCTTTTAATATCATATTTTAAAGTTTATTTCTGCGTGAAGTTTTAATAAAACTACGCAGCATCTAAGTAATATACTGTCATAGAAGAAAAGAACAGAATAGAGAAACAAAAGGAAAAAAAGGAAAAGAAAAAGAAGATAGTAATAAATTCCCTTAAGAAAGAACAACAATTTCTGTTACCGTAACGACTTTCGGAGATTTCAGAGAAGACAACACTAGTTGCGACTCACGAGATCGTTTAACGATCTTCGACTATCTATATATATTGCTACAACTATCTTTTTATATTTGGTCATAATATTCCACAGAGATAATTGCTTTTAGAGTTTGCAAGTGTGGTAACAAGTGACTTTCAATGTGATGCAAAGCTCTTTTTCTACTTGCTTTTTCAGTTAGAATTTTAATCGAACTGATATTTTAAACTTTTTACAATTATATAATTTTCACTTCTTATTATAGCAAAAATTTATTAAATTTATGATATTTTAATATTTTAATATTTTATTTTAATATTTTAATATTATTTTGAAAGTTATGTAAAAAAAGGCAGAAATTACACACATACATATACATACACAATAAATAGTGTAATAAATAACATATAATATTATAATATTATAAGTATATATATGTATTTAAGATATTTTGTCATTTGAAATTAAATTATCTAATATCGAACGTTGTACTTATAGATTTAAATCTAGACAATACTAAAAGAATACTCAAATATTAAAAGAGCAATAAAAAAAACCTATTAAGTATCGAAAAATTTTGAGAACCTCGATAAACTTTTAATAAAAGTGACATTCTCTGTTGTTATTCACGAATAGCCTTTCATTTCGATTGATTCTTTCTTCCGTTCACCATGTTCCAAAGCAATAACTGCTTTCGAAATTCGTTTCACTGGCGCTTAACGTCTCACAGGAAAAGAATAGCCTTTAATTTCATGCAAAAGGCTACGCAAAATATTTTTAACCTAGATTGCACAAAATCATAGTTTTTGTTATTAATTATCAATTAATTTGTAATTTTGCATCTCTTATCCCAAAAAATATTTCAACATAATAAAATTATAGCGAATATTTTTAAAGATTTACATATGTATGTTTAGTCGAACTTAGTAGTACTTTTTTCGCAAAACAATTGCATTTTAAGTTAAATTAATTTAATGATTATGGCTAATAATTGTCTAATTATGATATACAAGTCATCGTTATTTCGAAACTTGTAATTGATAAATAAAATAAATTATAAAAAAAGTTATCCAATCTTGTATTAAAGTAATTACTCATTTATTTTATATAATATTTAAAAAATGTTGATACTTTTTCTTTTGTACGTGCAATTTATATGCTTCCAATAGTTTATCGATATATTTCATTTGATAACATTAAATTTAATTTAAAATCTAATGTATTTAATTTAAAATCTGATATCTGATATATGGATATCGATGTTTTCAATATTATGATTTAATCCATTAAATGCAATTCTTTCAATACCACATCCAGGATCAATTAGAAACACTAATTGCGCATCGCAAATTTCTTTAATTGTTTTTATAAAATTACGACACAAAAATAAATGAAAAAAGTTATACTCTATATTCGCGCGAAAAACATTTCATAGGTACGCGATATGGCAACGAAAATTAATGTGGGACAGAATATAATTTCGAGAAACACGCGATGCAAGTTGATTAACTACGGTCGCTCGTTATACAATCTCATTCTACAGGTACGCTCATTATCAATACTTTGCAGAAAAGTATTCTCAGCTGAAACTTCGTTATAGAAACAACGGCGGATGTAAAGCACGCACAAAAACACATTTTCGTAAAACAGTTTGAAACTTGTCTTGTACATGCTTGTACATGTATCTTTAATGATCCCGCTAGATTTCACATCTGACCGAAATGTTAAAAAAATGTGACGCATCAGATTTAATCTATTAAAGCTGTTAAGCTTATATTCTATTGTTATATTTTGTTATATTCTATTTATTTTGACATATGATCATGTTTACTTAAAAAAATACCATTATTAAATGATTAAATATATACAAAATATCGCAAATATATGCAAAAATATATTTTAAATGTAATTAAATGTTGTTATTTTGTCATATTCTATTTAATCTGTCTTTGAGGAAAAATGATTGAATAGATTTAATATTTAAATACATAATAAAATTATATTAAAAAGTTAAAATATTAAATAAATATTATAATTGCAA